TTTTTTTTTTTTTTTTTTTGGTTTTTCGAGACAGGGTTTCTCTGTGGTTTTGGAGCCTGTCCTGGAAGTAGCTCTTGTAGACCAGGCTGGTCTCGAACTCACAGAGATCTGCCTACCTCTGCCTCCCAAGTGTTGAGATTAAAGGCATGCGCCACCACCGCCTGGCATCTCTGTCTCTTTGGAAGAAGCATAGAGCTACAATGATCATGAAGATTTTGACTTCTCACAGCGCAGCCATCAACCCTCCTCTGTCTCTGCAGAGTACTGGTGCTGTCCATAAGTGATGGGGATGATGGACAGGTGAGTGGGCAAAAAGTCGCAGTACTGTTGGGTATAGAAACAGGAGGTAAGCATGGCCTTTCCATCCTCAGTGTCAACCATGCCTTCTTTGTAAGCCTGGTGCCCTTGCAGGACTATTATCTGCCTGTACATCCTTTCTCATGCATTGGACATCATTTCCAAATGTCCTTCTCCATCTTCTATTGATTTGAATGTCAGTCTGACTGCTGTGTCAAGCTCTCCACAGCATACGTCTTGGTTGGTAAAATCGTATGTGTATCTCTCCTCCTACCCCAAAAGTACCATGGAAGTAGTCTTCCTACTCCGCCCTTTGAGGTCAGTCAGGTACTTCCTCCCAAGAAGGACCTAGTCAACATCTCATGAGGGAATGTGTCTATGCCTGAAGAATTCTTTCAAAGGCTCGGAAGTGGGCATTCACCCTCTGTGGACTGGAGCTCCTTAGAACCCTTCCTCATTCCCATGACTGGGTCCTGCCAATCACATGCTTACAGCACTTCCTAGCAACCTAAGATGCCCTTCTACAAGGTATAAATATGTCTGTCCACATACCCCAGCCACCCCGACAGCACACACTTGCTGAGGCCCAGAGTGTACTGATGGGTAGACAAAGAAGATGTAGGGTCCCTTAGTCACTGTGTGTCTGAGCAGTCTAAGAAAGTGGACCATTCTCAGTGTGATGGCACAGACAGAATCATGGCTTCAAAATGAGCCTTGAAGTTAATTTTAATATGGGATTTGATGATTTAAGGCCAACTGGGGAAGAGAAAGGACATAAGATAGCCTCCATTGGTCAAATTAAAAGTCACAAAAAGAGCATTTTTGTGAAAAAAAATGGCACTAGGTCGAAGTGGGAAGTCAGGGCTAGTTTTCCCTTTTAAAGTGATATGAATTGGTTGCCTAGAGCCCAAACTTAAGAGCCAAAAGCAAAATGAAAGAAAAGCTCAAAGTGTAGGGTGGGCCATGAGCATCAGACTCAATATACCTAACACAGGGGGTAGGGTCAATTTAAGGCTTACTTTACAAAGTATGTGACCCTTCAGGACATGGGTATCTCTCATAGGCATGAGAGAATGAGCTTGGTACTAATAAGGGCATTGTAGCCCGTGTTTGTTGTGCCTTAGTATGTGTGCCATTGTCACCTGGGACTCCAGGCCCAGGTGAGTCACCACTCTACCGGAAGAAGAGTTTGGGGCACGTTTCTGGTTGACAGCTAGCAGCAGTGAGTGTGTGCCTTTTCTAGGAGATAAGGCAGAGTCGTGCCCACCTTCCCACGCATTCTTCAATGCAGCTCTGGATATTTCTACACCCACCATCTGGTTGAAGAAGCAGGGGCAAAGAAATGCTTGGCAAATTGCTCAAGGTCACATTGCTATGTACTTTCCGAGCCCTAGTTAGAATTGCGACAGTTTAACTCCATGGCTTGCAGCTTTAAACAGCACGCTACACCACCTACCACCCACACTAGCAGTCAGGAGACAACCAGCACAGCAGATGTTTCCACACTTAGGTGAAGCTCTGCCTTCACTTGTTTTTATGTAGGGAATACACCTAGGCGGTGTGAGCTGTAAAGAAAAAATACCACCTCTTGTGTTCATGACCCTTTTAAACAACTCTGCCAACGTGCAGCCAAACACGCTTTCATCTGAACAAGTTTCCAAACAAGCATCCATCCTTCCATCCAGCTAGTGAACCAACTGTTCTCCTTTCTCTTACTGCAGCTTGGATTTGCAGCAATCTCCCTGTAGTCTGCTACACACCCTTTAGTGCCATCTGAGCACTCCAGGGAGGCAGGGGATGGAGTTCAACCCAACATCTGATCCTAACATGGTGAGGTGTCTTAAAGGCAGAGGGGAACTCTAAGCCCTCATGCCTACCATGTGAAAGTTATCCCCAAACTTACTGAAAAGGGGTGTTGATCATTCCTCGGGGGAAATTAGTTTTGATCAGATGATCAGAAAAAGTCAGGCTTCTGCTGGGAACATGGCAGACTGGCTTTTGCTCTGCGGATATGGTGACTCATACAATGACAGTGTTATGGTAACAGTTTTTCTTTTAAGCTGGCCGCTAGACCTCTGGGAATCAAACCTTTTGCTGTTGTTGTTCTAACTCATTCCTGGACTCCTTTTTATAATGATGCTCTTGTTTTCCATTTTCCTACTTTTTAAAACTCTACTCCTAGCCTATATTTTCGGGGTTGGAATTATGTTTGGTAAACGTTCCTGAGATCCTTGGGGTAACAAGAAGGACCTGTAAATATCTGATTATAAAGTTTGGTTGAGGGATTGACTGATGTTTAGCTGAAGCAGAGAGAAGGAGAGGCAACCTAAGCAGAAGCAGAAAGGTCACCGTGATTCAGCCCAATGGGCAGGTTTAAGACTGTGACACATTAATTTCTTCCATTGCTGACCCAAGTGATTCAAATTCCTACCTCCGCAGACCAGTCTGATGTGGGTTTCCCCTCTGTATGCTGTGAATATAATTGTTTAAGGAACTACTTTGGGCCTATAGCAGAGCTAGGTAGGGATGGGGAACCCTAAACTGAATGCTGGGAGAAAGGAGGCAGAGTCAGAGAGAAGCCATGTAGCCCCACCAGAGACAGACACCTGAACTTTAGCCGGTAAGCCACAGCCATATGGCAATTAATAAAAATAATATAGATTAATATAATGGGTTAAATAAATATGTAAGAGTTAGCCAAGAAGAAGCTAGAGCTAAGGGACCAAGCAGTGGTTTGAATAATACGGTTTCTGTGTGATTAGTTTGGGGCTGAGCAGCAGGGAACCAACTAGTGGCCTTCTGACTACACCAGGCTGACGTTGAACTCAGTATGCCCCTCCTGCCACCATCTCTTGGGTGGGTTCTGGGATTACAGCCATACACCACGTTGGCCTGCTTCGTCTTTGATTTCGTGCCTATAAAAAGAGCCAATAGCTCTACCTAGCTCACCTAGGGTTCTGATGGTGGGAAGATGAGGCATGGAGACAAAACTGTAGGCTCTCCTGTGATCTTTAAGTGGGAGTAATGTATATTACTTCCTGTAAATAGAACACCAGCATTCCAATACCACAGTCCAGGAAATATCGAAAATGTATTTCTCTGGGCTCTCAGAACCAAACTATGTTTAATTTAATTGGGGATAGGGGATGAAACAAATGCCCTCTCTCTCTCTCTCTCTCTCTCTCTCTCTCTCTCTCTCTCTCTCTCTCTCTCTCTCTGTGTGTGTGTGTATGTGTGTCTGGAGGCTGGCCCAGAGTGATGTGTCAGACCTGGCTCTATTCACCGCAGCATTCCTTCTGTCAGAATGCACCGTTTAACACTCCCCTTTGGCTAGGACCATGGCCAGGAGGCCACCTTACCTCATCATCGCAGCTAATGGAGCATCTGCCATCCAGGGAGGCACACTGTCGGGGAAGGAAGCAAGGAGCCATATTACTGGGTCATCCCAGCATTTGATGCGGCTGCTGCATAGCTATGGAGGTCATGGCCTGTGATGTAAGTACCAGGTTTCATCCTAAGGGAATGTTTCTAGATGAGACTTGGCTGTACTCTCTGGAGTGCGCACAATTCAGAATCACAGTATCAAAGACACGATGTGGGGAGGGCTGGCTCTTTTCCACACCTCTCAATTATGTTGTCATTCAACACTGATGATATCTCCTAAAGATCTCAGATCTTTTGGTAACAAAAGATATAATTATGTCATTATTTAATTTAAAACTATTTCTCAATGACTTTAAAAGGAAACTCTTGTTTATGTTCTTAGTTTGTAGTTTCCTATCACATCATAATTTAAGAAATGATAAGCTCCTTATTCATCCATCCTTTGGTGGGTCTCTAGGTTGATTCCATATTGTGAATATTGCACATTAAATATGGAATTGCTCACTTGCTTTTTGTATGCTGATTCCATTTTCGTTGGAAATATACTTGTACCATTTATAACTGGGCAGGTAGAAGCAACTTAGTGGTTGCCATTTCTCCATTTCTGTTGAATACTGGGCAGATGCCCCTGGGACGTCTTAGTTCAAACAACACAGCAAGGGGGAAGAAAGCCCTTGGAAGATTTCCCAAGGGGCAATAGCACCTTGAAGTCTTTGGGCCAGAAAGGCAGATGCTTGATTCAACAAAGCAGGTCATATGATGGCCTTCTACAGTGTGATAAGAAGAAGCACAAATTACAAGCTGGACATCACATGTGATTGGAATAAACCTGCCCTGGAATAACAAAAGACCCCAATATTAAGAGAGAAACTCTTTCTATAAAGCCAGTCTCCTCCTTGCCTCATCCCAACGGTCCCTGGGAGCAAATCTCCTGCTCTGCCCAGCCTGTGGCGTCTAACATGCCGGCAGCCTGATCTGTACTGGAAATGAATGGTACTCTGAGGAGCCGGCAATCCATTTCACCAACGTTCACCAGAAATCTGGCACTGCCGGAACTAGCTCCCCACACATAGACGCCTGTGCGCCAACAGCGTAGCTAATGCTGCGGGATGCCAGGGAGCACTTACCTGTCTGCTGGCAGTCCAGAACTTCCTCTGGAAGAATTCGAGTTTCATCTGAATGCCTACAGCTGGGATAGATGGTAAATAAAACAAAACGTCAGAGATCCCTTTACACAACCATTCCAGTTTGTCATCGGAAATTCTCTGTCATGGCGAGAGCTGACATAAAAATACCAGAAACAAATTAGCAGTGAACCATACACCTACGACCTTATAGCACTGACCTTTCTTCTTACAGGTCAGGGAGTCCCAAGAGTCCCTGCACTCAGAACTCAGTCACAAACTAAAGTCGGTGTTCTTTATAGCGGTGTTTCTTCAGTGTGCATTCTTAAATTTCATCTATTTGTGGCACCACCACAAGCTGACTGACATTTGTCATAAAAAAAAAGATACCCAGAAGCTAAATATCTCTTTAGTTCCTTTCTTGGCTATTACTTTCGGGGCCCAATATATTATGCATGGTGTGTGTGTGTGTGTGTTTTTTTTTTCTTGTCTGTTTGTTTAGAGACAAACCATCTGAAAGGCAGCAGTCATGAGGCTGGTATCTGCAAGGGAGCCACTTTCTAGGAATGTGACTTGGCTTCACTGGACCCTAAGCCCACGCCCCAGTGCACATCTTCTCCGGGAGGTGGACGGAATATACAGCTCTGTATGTCTATAGAAATCTTTCTGCCTTTCTCACGCAACAGTAAAAGCTAGCTGCGGCAACAGACAAGGAGAGGAAAGGAATTGTAGGCCATGGCAGTCGGTGGAAGCTTACAACCAGCCCATGAACAGGCTCGTCATATGTCTGCCCAGAAAGCCACGTCAGCATAACTTAGAAAGCGAAACGGTCAGGGCCCAAACCTCATCAGATGGTAATAATATTTCACAGGAGTTCAAAGAATGATTCAGCAGAACTGGTGGGGGTGGGGTGGGGAGGCTGGGGTAGCCTATACCCCAGTGCAGTCCTGTAAAGTGGCCTGGTGTGCATGCCCTTTCCAGGGTTTGCCATGATGTTGTTCATGGCCTGTGTGCTATTTATCTTTCCTTCAGCACCAATGATAACGTCAAACTAAATAATAACAACACCAAGAGAAAACACCAATAGTTAAAAACAAAAAATAATCTCACGGGTGATAGTATAAGTGGAATTACAGAGAAAGACGAGGACTTTAACTAAGTCAATCATTGTTCACAGTTGGTTCCCAACAGAATGGAAGCCCCTGGGAGCTCTAAGGAAAAGCACCTATGCCAGGGTATCTTCCTCTCCTTGTTAAGATCACGTAGCTCAGACTTAATGGAGATGTAAATTGAGGCATAGTTTTTCTCTGGAGTCTTTGGCACCCTGACTCTATAGACCTAATAGCAGAGTTGGGGCCCTGGTTGAGCTTCCCATGCAGGGAAAATGATCTTGGAGTCTGGGGGACATTCGTAGCATTTCAGATACAAAGTGTCTTTCAAAATGCCTACCAGGCTAAAGCAGGGTGCATACTAACAAGCAGCTGGGATTTGCTCAGGTGTACCAAGAGTCAAGGGTTGTATCCTTTACTATAGAAAAGCTTGAGACAAGCACTTGTGGTTTTGCGAAATGCTGGTAGGAGCCGATAGCAACTGACTTCAGAGAAGAGGGCCTCAACGTTGCTGCTCGAGCTGGCGACTGGTACCTAGGAGGAGCAAGGAGACTTTCTGTCTTCTTCTTTATAGCTCACCAGCTGCCCACCCTGGCACCGAGAAACTCTAATGTCAAGAGTGTGACAAGCTGCAATGAGAATTCCCATCCTATAGGATGAGAATACAGGAATTCCTGAACAGTCAGCGCACAGCAACCTCCCAACAGTGTTTCTCCTTCCAACCGTTCAGAGTTGTCTTACCGCCTGCCACCTCCTGTGTTTCCCCAGCGGTGCCCTTTCTGAGCACCCTCCCATCTTCTGGCAGGACCCCTTATTCACCTCCCTAATGAATCTAGCTGCTCCCTCTAGGCTGTTTATCCATCCCACATACTTGGAGTCTGCTATCATCTGCCTCCATTGGTCCTGCACCCCATCTCCTCAAGGCAATTTAATCTTTGCTCATGAGTCAGTTCCTCTGCCCCATTAATCATACAGGCAGGCCGACTTTCTCTGATCTCTCTCCAATGCTCTGCATCCTTGCCCTGGGCTTGATGCCCTAACCCAGACACCGCTCCTCTGGCTCATTCGCCTCTGTGCCAAGAGGCTACTGTCCAGAGATCCTAGGATTCTGAGGGTAACTTGTCTGCCCAGTTGCACATGGCTATGTTCCTGTTGGCTACCCCCATGCCAACTCCAGCAGCATAGCGTTGGCTCCTATATCACATTTGGACTTCCAGGGTTTTCATCTAGACTTTTGAATGCTTCTCTATGATTCAGAGACTCATAATCACATTGGTGGGTTGAGTTGATGACGTTCCCCCCCCCCCCCCCCCCCCCCCGCTGACCTTCACTGTGCTAAGCTCTGTGTTGGGTGCCACTTGAAATGGGATCACTAACCCTGTCAGCATCCTGCTGAGAAATAGCTCCATGGTAAGGGCTGCACTATAGGCAGAAGCAAAGAATTCTGGGATATTAAGTGGGTTAAGGAATCTGTGTATGTTATGGCAAGGAGATCTAACTCAAGGCAAAGTAGGAATCAAGAGGAAACAGGAATCTAAATGGAGGAAACAGTACGAGCAAAGGCAGGGAGTCTTTAAGACCACGAGGCTTTGAGGATTGAAAAGAGAAGGCACAGAGACCTGGGTGTTAGTCCAAAGCATATGAAGACTTCCCCATAGGCTGGGGATTAGCTCAGGGCCCAATCTAGCCATGTTTTGTAAATAAAGTTTTATTGGAACAGTCATTTGTTTACATACTGTCTGGGCCTATAATGCTAAAACTGAGGAATTACAGCAGAGACAGAATGGCCCACAGAGCCTAAGCATTTACTGTCTGCCCCTTCACAGCAAAACCATCGCTGGCATTTGCTGTAGGTATGACTAAAGGTACGTACAGATGCAACAGGACCAGCTTCGGAGTTTTGAACACCCACTCAAATGCTTGCAGAACAAATGCCAGGCAAAGGGCCCAAACAGTGGTCCACAGGACTGTGCACAAACTGTGGCCAAAGGTGCACAGGGTTCACTATTTCTTAAGCATGGAAATGATTTAGAGTACAACCAAACAATAAAAAATAGGGCTAAAACAAGGGGCCAAGCATGACTCGGTTTCCTTTGTTTTGTTCCACATGTTTTTCCTTTTCAACTCTTATCAGAGAAAGCATTTTTACCTCAGCGAGCCCACTCCTTACACCATCCGCCACAACCTAAGTGGAACCTGAGGTCTTTCTCATGCCCATCTGTTTGGTTCTTTCAACAACATTTCAAGGCCTAACAGTATATTCTGCTTCAAGTCGATCTTGCTAATTTAATAAGGAAAACGAGGGCAGAAAATGCTTTGGTGAAACTCAAATCCCAAGGAGAGCTCAGAAAATAAAAACACCATTGCATGGGTTTGAAATTTTTTAGACAGTCCAGAAAATCATGAACATATTTTCCTGGAGTCCGCGGTACTCCTCACTTCCATGGGATTAGAATGTTTCAGGGCTCCTAGCTCATAACCTCCACTGTAAGAACACGGGTTGCTTTCGCATACAACACTGAACACACCCACAAACAGTATTCCACAGGATCCTTTCCAATGTGCCTCCCGAGATGAGCTGAACATTTGCGGGTAGACTTCAGAATTCAGCCAACCATCAGACTTGTTAGCATTGTCATCCTGAAGACCTACAAGCTCATTACCCCGAAATACTCGAATATCTCAGACCCACGCATCTCTTTGGATCTGAACTATACAGATGATGGCTTCTGCAACTCTTGCCATTATGATAATAAGGAATGGGTACAAACTAGCTCAACATCATGCAACTCAGACCTTCCCTGAATGTCTTCCTTCTAGACTTTTCTCTTTACCCTGTCTTGTAACATTTTAACCCCTTTACCCAATTCCATCCTCTATTTTTTGTTTTTGTATCTATCAGAAGCCCAATCAGTACTAGGCAGGGGGTTGGTTGTCATAACGATGCAAGGTACAGTAGCAAGGGCTGGTAAATTGTGGAGGGCTGTCTAACCACCGAAGAGAACCAACCTTGGACTGACAGAGGTCATCACAGAGCATCACTCATGATTATCTGGCTATTAGAATGCCCGTGGTCCATTCATTTGAATATAGGCACAAGCAGCTACCTCTGGTGCTCAGATTCTGTGCTATCAAAATTGATGGCTATTGATGATGTGGCTATGTAAACTAAAAGCGAATATAATTTATCCCTGGGCTCCTTAGTTACATGATTCACATTTTCTGAGGGCGATAGCTTTGTGACCCCAAAAGGTCACTGTACTAATCTAGAACATTTTCACCTTTGCAAAAAGTTCTATTGAACAGTAACCAGCAATCTCAAGAGGGATGGAAGGTAAAGTTCTCTGAAGGCCCTGCCCATATTATCCCTTCCTAGAGGTGAAAGGAATGAGGATGGATATGTATGGAGAGCTCCGAGAGTTCAGATGAGATACGTCTTCCATCACCATTCAACTTGGTTCTGCAAGGGGAAATTGTTAATTATCTTGAGAAAACCCCCAAAGAAATTAATGCAATATGGTCAATATGGCTACCACCCCCAAGACTGATTTATTTTGCTTTATAAAATTTGAGAATACAAATTACATTTCCAGTGCTATTATATTCAAATGCACTCAAGATGAAATCATGCCTGCATCTCATATCACGTTAATAGACATGCATTCAAGGGTAATCTGAAACTCACCAAGTAACAATGTCACATGTAAAATTAGAAATAAAATAACATTTTCATATTGTATTCATTTAGAAATCATTTTCTGCAGGCTTGGCCTCAACGTGCAATCTACCCCTAGGAGCACAAATCCAGTTTATAAAATAGCATTCACCAGGCCTGGCATGAAAGCTTCAACAAACACCCTCGTTTCTAAACAGGCTCTGTACCTCCAGCCATAAAATAGGTCCACATGCACTTAGAAGGCTCATCCAGGAGACAGAAAAGCAATCCCAGCACCACC